CCCCCATCATCGCCATGTGATGGAACCGATCAAAGGAGCCCAGAGAGATTGGTTAGAAGTGGAAGCAGAGGCTAAATCAAGTGTAATATGATCCAACAAAAGATTTCTATACAGGTTAATGCAGAGAGTTTCTCTATTTTTCGAAGTCAAGAGGATAGTTTTCTTAGCGATGCATATGGCAGTCAAAACCACGTGAGCCAAAGATGTTTCAATCGGGGCATCGTCCAGGTTTCCCAGTAAACAAAGAGAGGGGGCGGTTGGGATATGACATTTCAGACACTTTGACAGATCCTCACATACTCTACCCCAAAATTCCTGGACAGGTGGACAGGACCACAGTGCGTGAATGTAATTGTCAGGAATGTTGTTTGTGCAGTGTGTACATGTGTCAGATGACACAAACCCCATCTTGAACATCCGATGACCTGTATGGTGTACTCTGTGTAGAATTTTGTACTGAATTAATTGTAAATTGGAGTGTCTGATCATTTTAAAAGTTTTTAAACAAGTTTGGGACCAGAAGTTCTGGTCAAAGCTGACTGATAGATCCACCTCCCATTTTTCTATAGGGATTACTATTCTATCGTCTATTTTGGAAAAACATGGCGGACTGGCAAGAACTAGTATGGCAGAGGTTCGTAAATACAGACATTTCTATGATTCAGCTCTCTAAGATCACCGTGATCAACTTGTTGTTAATAATTCTTGGAGAGAAATAGCTCGCACTGTCGGAAAAGACGAGGACGCTGTTAAAAATGCTGGAATGCCGTGTTGTAAACAACAGCAATTTTTACTTCTATTATGGTGTAGTGTTGGATGCATGCTGTAGAGCTCCATGCTGCCCCGTTCAGTTTGGGAGAATATTGGCTCACCGCAGAGACAAGCCGCATTAACCATAAACGCTGCGAGTTGTGCAGCGCGTTCCAGCCGCGAGCCGCGTCACCAAGCGGAAAGTGAATGTGTCAAGCATAAACCAAGCTTAATACATTTATTTAGTCTGGCTTGCCAGGCTACTCTCCCGTGGGTTTTAACAAGATCTTTCTGCTTAAAGTGCTCAAATTTAGCCACGATGGGACGAGGTCTTCTGCTGTCTGTTCTCCTGGCTCCAAGGCGATGTACTCGAAGAAAGGTGATGTTTTAACCGTTTCCTCAGGTATCTTCATGTGGGTGTGGAGAAAGCATTTTTTAACTCAGAAGCTTGAGCAGATCCAATAGAGAGTAGTGTTCTTGTACACAACCTTTTAAAATGAAAGACAAACACAAGTTTAGTTTAATATTTTTTAAAACACATATAATGTGATTTGTTTTCAAAAATCTTTTGATGCTCAATTACTTTTGCAATAATTGAGTTAATGGCAATAATGCAAAGGAGACAAGACAAGCGAAGACGCCCAAATCTGCCTTAATCCTCAGCACTCTGCTGAATAAACAGTTTCCTGTTCACACATAGAAAAGTAAAATAGATGTTTATTTTGAAAACATTCAGTTTAGGGGTTGAGGAGGCCAAATAATACATATGTCTTTCTACAAAAGGAGGGGTGGACTGGTCCAGTCATCCTTCTAGTAATGTCATTTTTCAGGAGATCTGAAACAAAACAAAAAGCTTGGGAAAAAAAATAGAAAAGCACTTTCTTGAATGAAGTCATCCATACACATATGGAACCTTTGGACAGTGTGCAGCAATGACAACGTCCACTCTGACAGAGTCACACATTTACATTTTCACCTGCTCACCTCTGGAAAAACGTCAAATGAGGTTTGCAAAAACTGCAAATCTAAAAACAAGGATAGAAAGAAGAAAAATCTGATTTCCCCAGTCCCAGTGTTTCAGTTAAATTATCTCTTTGATGCTTTAACAGGTGATGTATTTAAACAGTCCCTTCTAACATTCACCAACAGCGTATTCCTCTGAGGAAAAAGCACCTTCACGTCTCTCTTTCTCAAATCCGTGAACCATTTTTTCTCTATGTTGTTCTTTGCTGTTTTCTCCCACAAAACCTCATCAGAAACCTCCATTTTTTGCCTTTTAGCCTCCGTGTTTTGACTGTTACAAGGACCTTTCATCATTCTGTCATGGCACTGTTCTCAAGGCACTATACGTCTGCAACCTTTGACCTTTTTAGTATTGGTTTCTTGTAATGATGGTGATCTGCTGCTGGGACCGAGGTTCATTTAGCTGTGAGGTTCACTGGAAGTCATCAACTAAAGGTCTGCACAGTAAATGAAAATGGGTGACTGGATAGAAAAGACAAAAGCCTTTGGAGAAAGTAAACCATAACGAGGCTGTGTAGGGTGATGAAATGATGCAACAAGCAGAAGGGAGGAGGAATAAAAAATAAAATTTAATTCTTTAGTAGAAGTGGGAAATAATTCATTAAATCAGATCATCACAATCCAAGCAGCGTTGACAGAATCTTCATTTACTAAAGGTCAGGATTTTTTTATAGAACTGCTCCTTACACAGAAAGATAAACGGGAAAACTAGGAAACAAGGTTCAAATTAAAATGTAGCCAGTTGGACAAAAGTGCAGGAGCTCCAAAATCTAATGCTTCGGTGAGTTTTCTGCTTCTTTCCTTGTTTATTCAACATGTTAAAGAAAAAACGTAAAAATTCATTCATTTTTCATGCTTTCATGACATTGTTCTTGGGGGCTGCACAGTAATGCAGTGGTTAGTGCAAGAAGGTCCTGGGTTCAAATTCTAACCTGGGGTCTTTCTGCTAGGAGTTGGCATGTTCTCCCCGTGCACACGTGGGTTCCGGGTACTCCAGCTTCCTCCCATTGTGCAAAAAATATGACTCACTGTCAGGTTAATTGGTCTCTAACTTGTCCTTAGGAGTGAGTGTGTGTGCATTGGTGGTTGTCGTGTGTGTCTCTGTGCAAGGCCGGATTAACCATATGGGCAACTGTGCAATTGCCCAAGGGTCCACAAACTCTAAAGGGCCCAGGCCCAGGGCAGCAAGGGCACGAGCAAAATACTGCATCTGTAATCTCCCGCTTAACAAACTGTCCACCAGGGCTTTTGCGCTGCACAGAGACGCTTCGCTGCCTATGACTTTGAACGTCAGTTGAGAGCGGTTGAGAGTCAGTCTCATGCAGACTGACCAATGAAGAGAGGGCCTCAAGTTAAGACCCTCTCCTCATTGGTCAGTCCACACGAGGTGGGTCAAAGATTACCCTGAGTGGGTTACATGACGTCAGGCATTCAAGTATTGAGTATATTTACTGCATGTTACAGTAAAATATTCTGTATATGACCATATTATGGTGATCCTTGTGTTGTGAAGATGGGGCCCTTGAATATTGTTCCCCAGGGTACAACAAAGTGTTAATCTGGCCCTGTCTCTGTGTTGCCCTGCGATGCACTGATAACCTGTCCAGGGTGTGCCCCGCCTGTTTGTCCAGAGACAGCTGGAGATAGGCACCAGCCCCCTTCGACCCTGCATGGATAAGTGGGTGTAGAAAATGAAAAGATGGATGGGACATTGTTCTTTGCTGCACAAATGAAATTAAATTGTTGTCCCCAATACCTTACCTTCAAAGGTGTTGAACACTCACAGCAAGGCGGGTTTGGAAGGGCCTGTATCAGGGCTCCTGGGACAGATGAAGGCCTAAAGACAATTTCTTATGCTTCTTAGAGATTCAAAGCAGTGTTTTAGATTGCTGATAAACTGCCTTCTTTGTCCCCTTTAATAAATACATTTGCAATGGTTTCTAGTAGGAGTGAATGCCTTGTAAGTCATACTCAGGGGTAAAAAAAAAATAAAGCCCAGAAGCACCTGATTCAGCACAGAGAAGTAAGAAGGAGCGAGTGGTGGAAGACGGCAGGATTTTATTTCCTGATATTTGGACATCTTTCCTCTGATTGGCTAACAGCAACAGGACTCTACCATTGCCTCAGTTTGCTTTGTAATGATGATGTTTTATCTCCAGAAATAACACAAGCCTGTGGCGGAGTTGCTAATGCTAACAGTTAGTTTCTTCTAGCCAAGACAGTATTTGCTGTTTCCAACACGCTAAAAAAACAACAGCCTTCCCGGTCATGAGTCAAGATGGGTGAGTGTAGCGGATAAGACAGTAGAGAATGTCTCAACTAGTAAAAGCTAACCGTGGCAGACATGGCAGAACATCTTCAGGCTTGGGTTATTTGTGGAGATAAAACAATCAATCAGAATCAGAATCAGAAGTTTTTATTGCCAAGTCACAACATTAGGAAATTGCTGCGGTATTTTGGTGCAGAAGGTAAGATAGAAAAAAAATTAATTAAGATATAAGCAAATATAAGAACTAATAAAACACTCATGATAAAATTATTAATGTAAAAAGTGGCAAGAATTAGAGAAGCAGCTATCTACTCCGTGTAGGTATTAATCTGAGTATTTGTTGAATGGTTCAAGCACAGCATCGGGTCACGTGACTGGGACCAATCAACTTGAGTGGGCTGCCCTAGGATGTTCATTCAAAAGTCCAACTGCAGAGGGGAAGAACAATGTTGCTAACCAAACAGTCAATAGTAGTCACGTTGCTGTTAGCCAAGCGAGATCTCAGAAGCGAGATGACCAAACATCAGTACAATAAGACCATAAATCCTGCCGTCTGAAGGCACTTTCTGCTCCAGCTGAAAACTATGTCCTCAAACAGGCGCACCGGAGCTTTGATTCCCCAGACATCAACTTACAAGGCATTCATTCCTACTATGAATAAAAAAATCTGAGTAAAGTTTACCTTTAAAAAGTTTGTTTTACAAAGTTAGAAATTGTCAGGTACTGGGTTTGTGGGTTCACATTTCCTCTTCACAGGTTGTTGGAGGGCTAGGGAGACTCAAGGAGACTCCATCCAGCTAATTACCTCGGCTGCAGAGTCACCCTTCTCACCTGCAGCCCATCATGTAATTAGACGGGAGGAATAAAGGAGCCAGTGAACCAGCCACTCAGCGCCAGATTGCTTGCCTTAGTGGTAACGTCCAGCCACCTGAATCTGTTCCAGTTTTATTCTAGTCTGTTCCCTGAAACCTCTGTCTGTCATCACAGGATTCCTAGAACCCGTTCTGGATAACACCTTTGTGTGGAAGTCTCATACCAGCCTCTGCAGCTCCCGGATCTCCTGAACCACGGCTAAATCCTCCCTGGCTCTGTTCTCCTCCCGTGCGTCTCCTGTTCACCCTCCAACAACCCGCCTCACTTCTCCGAACCTCCGCCTCACTTCTCCGAACCTCCACATCTACCCACAGCCCCGGTACCGGCTCACCTCTCCCACGCTCCGCTACAACCAAATCTCAGTAAGAAGTCTCCCCACTATCTACATAAATATCTCCCCGTCCCGATCATCATTTCATGTGTTATTTCTTCCAGTGATCCAATCTCTAGCTCCGGAACCAGCCCATCCCTGCCAGCCTCCGCTCACCTCTAATAAACTATTTTTTACTACATCTCCTGGTCTCTTGAGTCATCTTGTATGTGGGTCAAATATCTAAATAAAGAAAAAACCATGACAGAAATTGCCTTTATGATCAAACAAGGACAAACTTGCAGAAATTTTAGAAAATTTGAGACATTTAAGCAAACAGTCTTAAAATGTTTAAAAATAAATGTAGGGTTTTCATCTGAATTGAAGGCTTTCCTTTCAGCTGCTGGAACTTCAAAATAAAAGCAATTAGTAAAGTACCGTACTCCACGATGCTATAAATAGCAGTGCTTGAAATACAGGTGCTGGCCAGTAAATTAGAATATCATCAAAAGGTTGAAAATATTTCAGTAATTCCATTCAAAACGTGAAACTTGTACATTATATTCATGCAATGCACACAGACCAATGTATTTCCAATGTTCATTACATTTAAATTTGATATTTATAGGTGACAACCAATGAAAACATCAAATCTGGTATCTCAGAAAATTAGAATATTCTAAAGGCCAATGAAAAAATGTTTGTTTCTCTAATGTTGGCCAACTGAAAAGAATGAACATGAAAAGAATGTGCATGTATAGCACTCAATACTTAGTCGGGGCTCCTTTTGCCTCAATAACTGCAGTAATGCGGCGTGGCATGGACTCGATCAGTCTGTGGCACTGCTCAGGTGTTATGAGAGCCCAGGTTGCTCTGATAGTCGTCTTCAGCTCCTCTGCATTGTTGGGTCTAGCGTATTGCATCCTCCGCTTCACAATACCCCATAGATTTTCTATGGGGTTAAGGTCAGGCGAGTTTGCTGGCCAATCAAGGACAGGGATACCATGGTCCTTGAACCAGGTGCTGGTGGTTTTGGCACTGTGTGCAGGTGCCAAGTCCTGTTGAAAGGTGAAGTCTGCATCCCCATAAAGTTGGTCAGCAGCAGGAAGCATGAAGTGCTCTAAAACTTCCTGGTAGACGGCTGCATTGACCCTGGACCTCAGGAAACAGAGTGGGCCAACACCGGCAGATGACATGGCACCCCACACCATCACTGACGGTGGAAACTTTACACTGGACCTCATGCAACGTGGATTCTGTGCTTCTCCGCTCTTCCTCCAGACTCTGGGTCCTTGATTTCCAAAGGAAATGCAGAACTTGCTTTCATCAGAAAACATAACTTTGGACCACTCAGCATCAGTCCAGTCCTTTTTGTCCTTGGCCCAGGCGAGACGCTTCTTGCGCTGTTTCTTGTTCAAGAGTGGCTTGACACACGGAATGCGACACCTGAATCCCATGTCTTTCATGAGTCTCCTCGTGGTGGTTCTTGAAGCGCTGACTCCAGCTGCAGTCCACTCTTTGTGGATCTCCCCCACATTTTTGAATGGGTTTGTCATCACAATTCTCTGCAGGGTGCGGTTATCCCTAGAGCTTGTACACTTTTTTCTACCACATTTTTTCCGTCCCTTCGCCTGTCTGTTAATGTGCTTGGACACAGAGCTCTGCGAACAGCCAGCTTCTTTAGCAATCACCTTTTGTGTCTTGCCCTCCTTGTGCAAGGTGTCAATGATTGTCTTTTGGACAGCTGTTAAGTCAGAAGTCTTCCCCATGATTGTGGTGCCTTCAAAACAAGACTGAGGGACCTTTTAAAGGCCTTTGCAGGTGTTTTGAGTAAATCAGCTGATTAGAGTGGCAGCAGGTGTCTTCTATATTCAGCCTTTTCAGAATATTCTAATTTTTTGAGATACCAAATTTGGAGTTTTCATTAGTTGTCACTTATGAATATCAAATTTAAATGTAATGAACATTGGAAATACATTGGTCTGTGTGCATTGCATGAATATAATGTACAAGTTTCACGTTTTGAATGGAATTACTGAAATATTTTCAACCTTTTGATGATATTCTAATTTACTGGCCAGCACCTGTAGAACTGGTGCCTATCTTCAGCGCCTCAGAGCTTCTGGGGCGCAGCGCACCCCGTGTGGCCACTCTCATTAACTACAATGGCTTCTGGCTAAAATGACGTCGCGGGCACGGGCGCAGTGCGGCATGGCTGTCTCCGGTGTGCCCTAGACTTAAGGCCTTTTTGATAGAATGTCAAATATACTATGACAATGTTGATATGAATTAAATTTGTATTTATATGCACAGGAGAGTATTTTCATTATGTTGCATCTGTCCCTATAAATAAGAATATTTAAGGCTTCTATCCTGTTTTCTTTTGGAGCCTATGGAGGCTTCTGACTCGTCTGTTCATCTGAAATCAACTTAAATGATTTAAATAAAGAACTGCAGAACTTCCTCTTTTTATGCCAGATTCATGTTGACCTTTAAAACCATTATCTTGCGGTGAAGCCTCATCATAAAGAGCATTTGGATGTTCTGTAATTATCATTTAGTAATCAGATTATTGTGGATTGTGGTCTTCCAGCCCAATGTTTCTTTTAAAAAAACTGCTAAAAGAGAGATCACTCAAACCTGGAAAAAACACACGTAGGATTACTAAATGTGACTGATAAATGTTGTAATTAATTCTGCAGAATCAATTTGCTTAAATCAGTCAAATTATTTTTTATTTATCTTTATTGAGTGAAATAATCCAACCTTAATCATTACCTTCAAATTCACTTAAACACGATTTCAGTTTGCTTCCTATCCCAGTGGAGCTGAAGGAATACATTAGTATGTAACAATGATCACTGACAGCAGGCATGTGTCCAGAATATAGAAAAATATTATATTTCTCTATATCTGCATATTTTCTGTGGTGCTGTGAGAACAAGGCACCAGAGCATTTTGGAACATTATTATGCTGCATTCATAGCTAAGTGTCTTCCTAAGCCTTCAGTGCTTTTACCTGCTCAAAGAGACCCCTGGGACCCAACACAAAATACAGAGCTCGTGCATGATTTTCATAATTGGCTGTAAGGTGAGACAAGTTTTTGAGTTGTTTGTGCAGACTCCAGGACAGGCTGCTTGAATCCAACCATTGTGCCCGCCTGCCCTCAGTGCAGGCATTTGTTGATGCACTACAGAACAATTGTCTCAGCTTGGTTGCAGATCAAGTTATTTTGTTTGTGCTCACTCATGCTCATCAGAACATCTTGTTTTTGTTTAACAATTGCTGTTGTACTGCAGAAATAAATAAACAACTTTTGGCAGCTTCATTATTAGAATGAATTACTATTAGGATTTTATTTTTCATGAACAATGTGGAGTTTTAATATTGTTTATTTTCTTTACTTCTCAGTTTGAGGATTAGTTGTTTATCTAATGAACTTTATTTGTGAGTCCAACAGGAAGCACTGAGATATTATAAACATTGACAGTCAATCAGATGACCGAGGAGGGAAACTTTTAGCTGTTTTGGAACTTGTAAAAACATGCAAAACACACAAAAAAATTACACAATTAATTAGTTAATTATATAATTTTCTGGCCCCAATCTGAATAAAGTTTGTATCTCCACAGTTTTTTGCAGCAACAGGTGAATTAAACAAAAAATAAAATTCTAAAATTTATTTTGATATTATATTTCACTGACTTTTTATGTTTGTGTTTCTCAAATGTGAGTTGTGTTTTGGATACATATTTTTAAAATAAAAATAATAAAGAAGCAATGCAATGCTTTGGCACAGGCTAAATTCTCCCAGAGTTACCATTAGGACCAATTTGGTGTGCCACCCCAAAATTTTCTTTGGCCCCGTCTGGCCACCCATAACAAAATTTTCTGAGGGCGCCCCTGTGGCTCTCAGGATAAAATTCATCAGGGGCTTCACAAGAAGCCCCTGATGAATTTATATATGTATATATACAATAATAATAAAAAATCTATATATGAAATGTTTTTAAAATATCATAATAAAAGAATGAGGAAAATGGAAATGTTTTCATAAAAAATGAGAAAGAAGAAAGAAAACGATAAAGGTAATGCAGGATCTCCGAAAAAACAGATTCAGTATAAACACCAGCATGAAGAGAAGCTAGTGAGGAAGAAGCAATGCCACCAAAGTAGTTGTGAGTTTTTTTCACAAGTGTGAGCTTTATTAGGTATTAGCAGCTTTTTCTGGCCCCAATACAAAACATGATTTTGTTTTTGTGTGTGGAATTTGTGTTCCTTCTGGTTATTCTGGGTTGGAAGAGCTTCATAAATAACACAAACATTGTTTCTGAATATTTAGTGGTTTTCCTAAAGTGAGGAACTTAAAATAAACATTAAAAAAATTAAATTTTAAGTAAAGTTCCTGTAAATGATAAAAACAAGACTAAGGTAAAGAAAATAAAAATTATTGCGCTACAGAAGCCAGTGTTCTCTTATGTAGAAGCAGGGGGGATCAAAACATAAACCATACCAACATTTTTATGTAAATTGTTGTTTTAGTAAAAAAAATAAATGAGTATTTTTTCTGCTTTCATTTGTTTTAAATCCATTTTGTAATCAGCAAATAAATAAAATTCAGTTTTATAAAATCAAGATAATAAATGAACTTGTAAAATGAAAGTATGGAAATTTTTCTTCACTTCACTATAAAGGACGTATATTTAACCCTTATATAACCCTTTAATTTTCTAGCGTTTTTGTCCTTTGAGCACAAAAAAATGCACTAAGGTCGTATAAGGGTTAACACAATTGGTTTATTTCACCAGGTCAAACCTCAGATTTCCTGCAGTGTTCTTTGCTGTTTTGCAGGTTTTTTCTTGTTTCAATGCAAACCAGTGAGCACCATTGTGACTTATGACAGCTCGCAGTATGGCTGCCCTTTTCTAACCATTTCTGACTAATTGCACAACACCTCTGTTGTTTCAGCTTGTGTGGTTTTAGGAGATATGAAGACAAGAAAAAAACAGGAAGTGCATTCAACTTTGAACACAGAAAATCAAAAAAGTCATCTGGCTTATAAAATAAAACCATCAAAAAATAACTTCTGGAAACACAGAGGGAAAAATTTCTGTTCCATGAAAACAATCAGTGGCTCGACATCAGACTCACAAAGCCCACTGTTGGTTTGATGGGAGTTATTTTTCTCTCCTTTTGATGAA